GACCAGTGATCTCTGGACTGTAGGGTTACAATAGGACACAGACTGGACCCATGGAAAAATAAGAAACAGGAAGAGGGAATAGTGTCACAGGGTAGAAGAAGATAAGAGACGGAGACAGAGGGACAGGAAACTGGGGAGAAGGAGTGGGACAGGAGAACAGAGAGAGACTCACTGGGGCCCAGATCCACCAGGGGGTTCATCTGCTCCATACTGAGAGAGTACACAGCTGTGGGGATGGACAGACAGCACGGTAGCACGTCCCTGCGAGAGAGGGGTACAGGAGGAGAGGGAGATAGGGATGAATAGACGATGAAAGGATCAACTGAAAAAGAAAGATAAGGTAGGGCTCCTTCCCTCCTCCTCCATACCTACTTTCCTGCCTCCTCATCCTCACCCCCGCCTCCTCCACACCCTACCTCTTCCACACCCCACCTCCACCCTCCCTCCTCCTCCTCCACACCCTGCCTCCTCCCTCCTTCCTCCTCATCCTTACCCCGCCTCCTCCCTCCTTCATCCTCCTTAACACCCCACCTCCTCCATACCTGCCACCCTCCTTCCTCCTCCTCCACACCCCGCCTCCCTCCCTCCTCCTCTTTCAAAACACCACCTCCTCCTCCACACCCCATCTCCCTTCCTCCTCCTCCACACTCTACCTCCCTTCCTCCCCATCCACACCCCACACTCCTCTCCACTCTGCTTGTCTCCCTCCTCCTCCACACCCCTCCTCCCTCCTTCCTCCTCCTCCACACCCCACCTCCTTCTCCACACCCCACTTCCTCTTCACCCTGACTCCTCCTCCACACCCCACCTCCTCCTCCACACCCCACCTACAGCACCTGGTCCCTCTGTCTCACCTGCTCACTGTGTAGAAGGCCACCAGCTGGATCAAGTCAGAGAAGCCCAGGTGAGACTCTGGCAGGTGAAACACTGATCCAGATGGGAGGAGGGAGGGAAAATGAGAGCTTTTAGACATGAGCTGTCTTCATGCATCTCAGCTGTATGTCAGTGCATCACGGTGTTGAGTCAGCAGACACAGGCGTGCCACAGAGCCGTCTTTGTATTAGAGAACAAGCATGTCAGTGTACCATTTCTGGGATGACCCTGAAACACCTTGAATGGTTAATATTCAATATTCACTCAGGCTGCACTGTCAGCGCTGGTTTCAGACCAATTATAATCTCTCTGAGAAAGCAATCAAGCTCACAACGAAGTCGCTCAAGCAACTTTCAGAACAATGGTACCGGCGCAGTATGAGTGACAAAGAGCAACACAACAGTAATCACGACATTCAGGGGTCACCTGTATCGAATACATGGTGAGACCAGCTGGGAGGCGAAGTGGGGTGCTGGTCATGTGACTGGGTTCCACACTTTGGTCCTGGGGAGTATGTCATTGCCTACTGACATGGTGAAAGTACGTCAGTGTTTACCTTTGCCGGTGTATTCGATGGCAAAATCCCTCACAGACTCGGTGCAGCCCCCTACAGACACACAAAGGAGGTGCGGGCAAGTGGCGGAGTCACACAGCACCAGGAAACTCTGCAGAGAGACAGGGGGAAAGGGCAGAACAGGGGAAAGACAGAAGGAGGGAGGAAATAAAAGAACACGAGAGAAGAGAGGGAGCAAAGGAGGAAGAAAGAGAAGTGGGAGACAATGGGCAATGAAGAAAAATGTTAGGAGTGTAGAAAAGGGAAGAAAGAGGGAAAGAGATCTATTATGGCACTGATAACTTCCAAATAATAATGTATTACATTTGTGTAGCAGATTCCAAAATGCTTCACAGATAAGAGCAAACCCACTTCTCCCACCCCGCCAGCTGGGTGACACAGAGCAGCTGTTCTGCACCTGCAGCCCCACAGCTCAGGGGCGCAGAGAGGAGACTCAGGCAACATCAGACTGTAGACTGAATTCTAGCCAGGACTCCAGGCCTGACACCCCTCCTGTAAGTTTGCACACGAGTTCAATGATATCTATTACTTCTCCTCCAATGGACAGACCTGCCAGCACTCTGCAGACATAAGACTGGGTACAGAAGCAGGGAGATCTGTCAACTAGACCAAAGCAGCTCTCGAGCCCCCGAGACTCTGATAGGCTGCGACCGCACTGCGGCACTCAGCCCCTCGCGCGGACTGCAGGAAGTCCCGAGCAACACAAATAGGGCCCCAGCCTTCGGGTGGGTAACACTGCAGACGAGAAACTGCAGTTTAAATAAAACAGCCGAAATGTTTCCGACCTTCCTGTGGCGTGAGGAAGTCCCGAGATGTACCAACGCCTCCCCCTCTCGCGCAGCTGACAGATGCACTAACTTTACAGCTCATCTCCATCGCTCCAAATACAACCAAGAGCAGAGAGATGATTGGTGTCCCTACAGCACCACACTACACCAAACTACAACATAATACTGCACCAAACTACAGCACCACACTAC